CTAAATATAGTTATATATGTGAAACGTTAATATTAATGTAGGACATTTGTGATTGAAATTGTAAATCTCAGATTTAGAGTGATAAAAGTATATAGAAATAAGAAAAAGAGAATAAATATAATATTTAGAATATAAATATAAGATTTAGAATAATAAAATAAAAGTGAGATAATCATACAATTGAATAAAAATAATGATAATCAGATGATAAATTATAAAAATTAAGAAAAAGAGAATTTTGTATAATCAAAGAAAGATTATTATATTAGAAAAATTTATGTTACTATAATAATAATATATCAAAATCTATATTACAACTAAAGATAGTACAGCAAGTATGTGATGCTTATTTGTTACCCATTACAACATATTGTAACATGTTATAACTCCAAAATTTTATAAGCTGCAACTAGTTGTAACTAGTTATATCTTATAAAATTTTAAAGTTGCAATGTATTATAACAGATAACAAATAAGTATCACGTATTTGCTATATTATTTCTAATTCAAAAGTATAAATTTGAATAGTACTCACTTTGCTTTATTATATTAATAAATAATTATATTAATATATTTTTGATAATCTGCTAGATAAAAAATTTTTATTATATTCAGATAAATTTTTAGAAGACTTGCATTTGGATGAATATTATAATTAGTATGAGAACATCAAGATATTTAATATTTTTGATTAGTTCCAAAACACTTTTATTCTAATAGTAAGATTAATTTCAAATTTCAAATTTTACATAATCAAAAAAATGGAATATATACAAAAAAATATAAATCTTATTGAAATATTATATAATACAAATTTATATGTATTTATAGAAAGTAAATTATAAAAAAGAGATTACTTATCATATAAAGAATAAACTCATAAGATAAATATGATATATAATAAATTATATTTACTTATTTTGTCTGAACTTTTAATCAAAATTTATTAGAATAAAAAATTTATATTATATATTATTTGTTTAAAATACTAATTACAATAAAATCTATAAGTAAACTAGTATATTATATTAATAAAATTAAAAATACAGAAAAAAATAATAAACATAAAGCTGAATTCTGATGATTTTTAAAATGCTAGTAAGTGAATAAAAAAATTCTGAAAAAATTAATATGATTATTAATCTTTTACTTAAAAATAAGTTTTATTAGATATTTAATAAAAAAAGAAGAAAGTCAGTATATTTTAATAAATAATAATCTTATTTTACTCAGATATTATCTTAAAAAATCAAAATATTTATATTTTCAAAATTATTATAGAATAATTACTAATAGTTCAAAATCATATTATGAAAATATTATATTTTGAATAATGAAACCAAATAAAATTTTAAAGGTAAATAAATTCTCTTTAACAAGAAGTACAATAGCAATATTTGAAGATATATATACTAAATTTAAAAAAATTCAAGATAAAATTACTTTTTATTTCACTGGAAAGCATTATCATAAGTTCCAAATTCAGATAAGTATTCTCATAATGTAAGTATTTAATTAATATTTATTATAATTTCTTATTATTTACTAATTTTGATCCAGTTGTATTAGGATCAATATGTAATATAACTTTTTCTATTTTATTAAATAGAACAAAATATTACTACTACTAATAAATATCTTTCTTTTATATTTACTTAGTGTATAAATAATTCTATAGTAATATTGTACTAATATTCTATAGCAATCTGGTTGAATGTTCAGTAATATGTAATAAAGTTAAATATTATAACAATATTAATTATAAAATTAATTAATATATAATTTTATTAAATAATAAACAAAAAGCAGTTTATTGACTAGCTAAATTTTGTATTGATCAATTGATATCTTTTGATTTATCCAAAAGATCCTTTATTTATATAAAATATTTTTATGATTAAGTTATTACAATATAAGATATATATTAAAGAAATATAATATAGCAAATAAGATTAATATGTTTGAGAACTCTGTTATCTCTGCTATCTTTACAATCTATATTTAATTACATGATCAAAAATTAAAAAATTAAAGAATTAGAAATAATTCCAGATTATAATAGTGTTATTTCAATATTAGCTCTATATATATTACACAATTTTTCTTTGATTACTCATTATTAATAAGAATTATATTGTACTTTTTAATGAAAGTTATAATACAAATAATCTTACAAGAATTCTTTGTAGATATATTAATGATTGGTATAATACTATTAAACTCATTGATAAATATTTGCATGGTAAATAATTTATTGTTATTGATTTGATCAGAGAAAAAGATGATCCATTATTTTTATGTGCTGCTGGAATTCCATTTTAAACCTTTCTGATCAAATATAAAATGAAAACCAAATACTCTATAAAAGATGCTTGTAAAATTGCTATAGAATAAAATGGCTTATGTCTTCAAATGGATATATTAATTGCAATACGTCTTTATTGTGAAAATGTGCTAAAGATTATGAATGGATGGCTCCCTTTCACAGGATTAAAAATGCTAGGAAATGGTGTTCAAATTGTTTAAAAAATAAACCTTATACTCTTGATGACACTAAACAGATTGCATATAATAGAAATGGGGAATGTCTTCCAGATAATTATATTAATAACATATTATCATTGCGGTGGAAATGTGTTAAAAATCATGGATGGACTGCTTCATTTAGGAACATAAAACACTGTAAGACATGGTGTCCAGATTGTGTACATAGTAGATCTCTTACTATTGAGAAGCTAAACAAATCGCACATAGCAGGAATGGTGTGTCTTTCTATAATATTTGTTAATGTTCGTTCACCTTTGTTGTGAAAATGCACTAAAGGGCATAAGCGGAGTGTTAGTCTTAAAAGCATAAAACATTGTAATAGTTGGTGTCCATATTGTGCAGGTACTAAACGTCTTACTCTTGAAGCTAAACAAATTGCACATAGCAGGAATGGCGAGTGTCTTTCTGAGATATTTGTTAATATTCGTTCACATTTATTATGGAAATGTGCTAAAGGACATGAATGGTATTCAACCTTAAAAATATTAAAAATGGAAATAAATGGTGTCCATACTGCAAAAACAAGCGAGAAAAACTTTGTCGAAAAATTGTCACAAAATATTTAGAACAACCACCTTCTAATATTCGTCGACCAGATTTCTTAAAAACTTATGATCACCCTCTCGGATTGGAACTTGATATTTACTATCCAGAATATGGATTTGCGATAGAAGTGCAAGGTGTTCAGCATGAAAAATATAACGAATTCTTCCACAAAGGAGATCCTAATAATTTTATTAAACAGAAGGAGTGGGATCAACTCAAGAAAGAATTATGTGAAGAAAACTGGATTGTTCTAAGATATGTTTGGTATTACGAAGACCCATTTGTAGTTATTCCAGAGCACCTTCGAGAATTGGGTCTCATTGAGTAAACCCAAAACTTTAAATGCATTAATAATAATATTTTTTTCCGTACAAATATACATATTGTTAAAAAACATTATTATTATTTTTTGAATATGATGTTATAATCATAAATTGTCCATATCACCAAGTCATGTAGCGAGATCGGGTCCTGAACTTTGTATAACGCATCTTAATATATTTTTTGTTGAAAAACGGTAAGTGGATAGCCAGCACGTGAAAGATATAATTCCGTGAGTGTACGACTAACGCGACCGATCCATCGTAGAACGGATGAATATGGGAAAAACCGAAAGTATGTATCACTATTTCATAAGAGGATGAATATTCATGATGTATTAAATTGTATAACCGCTTGCGGAATAGCAAAATAAAAAATTTATTGCATTTCGTAATCAAGTAATGATTAATATATTCGTGAGGTTATCAGTGCAAAGTCTTAGTTTTTATTTACTGAATCATGTACGCGAAGGTTAATAGAATGAAATGAACAGTACCCACATATATCTCAATATAAAATGTAAAATAGCTATTCATTATTACAATAAATTCTTTTACTGATTAAGCGGTGTAAACCCACTCTTAAAACAACAAAAACGCTTTTTAAATCTGCAACATTTAGTTTACTTAATGGTCTAAGATATTTTTTTTGTATTAATCTTATATTCTAAATCTTCCGCAACTGTTTTTCGGTGCTCATCGTCGATTTTCAATCCCAAGATGATTTCTTCTGATTTTTCTAATAACGATCGTGATACTTTGGTGGCATCCTGCCAACGACCACTAGCTCCGTCTAATATAATTTTTTTCATTTGGATATTATCAACTTCGGTTGCTATTCTTTTCCCCGTACTAGTATTTACCAAATCGATCGCCATTCCACATAAATCAGGACTTTGAGAATATACGTACTTGGAATTCCGGCTCGATACCAGCATGGAGGTTAAGAATCATAGCATCCATAAATGCTTGCTTTAGGGCTTCTTCATTAGAATATACTATGCTATTACCTTTTAGAGGCTTTAATAAAGTATTCTCAATAAAACGACAAAGGGGTTCGATATTATTATCGGCCTCTAAAATTTGCAAAAAGCTCCGCACAGGAATTAAATCATCTTTCCAGTCGTAAATTTTTAATGCTTCCCTAATAAATTCCCTTTCGGTAAGATGATCAGGTATTCGAAAATAATGTTTGGTCGATAAGCTAGGTTGATACGTAATGGCTCCGATATAAAACATAAATGAAAGTAGTTGTGTACGATCAGTTGCTAATTCGCGAATATTGATGAGTCTAAATCGTTGAGCTATGCCGTCTTTGGATTCGAGAGGATGCCGAGAAAGTGCTTCTGTAAGGATGGATTTACCAAGGGGGTTGTTAACGATTAAATCCAATGAAATTTGAGAGGGAAGTGTTTGAGGGTCAGAGGGAAAATTAAGAAGTGCATCATGAGTTGTTAAAGAATTCCAACTATTATCTGATTCTTCCTTTTGTTCCAAAAATTTTCTAATACAGTACAAGACACGTGCTGTGTTAAAAATCCTTTCAGGTTGTCTAGGATGAAAAAAATATCCATCATTTTCGTTTTTTAACCACGTAATTAATTCTTCTTTAATATTGTCTGGTCTGGCAAACTATTTCCAAAAGCTTTATTCAAGAGCAACTCAATTTCTGACTTCTTGAAGCCATACATGTCCCAATTTTTTTTGTTAAGGGCTAAATCTTCAGAAATATTAAAACCTGAAGTGAATTCGGCCACAACAATAGGAGTCACACCAGTTTGGAAAACATAGGCAATGCCAGCATCACAAGCAGATTTCAATCGACTGTAAAATTGTTTGAACGAACTCTTTATTGCTTCAGTTCTGCTTGAGAACTTTTATAATGAGCAATAAGAGGTTGTAAGGTGTATTCGTTTTTAAGGGTTTCGGTCATTCCAGCGTCATATTCATCAATAAAAACATAGAGCTAAAGAAGAAAAACATTAGTTTTCTGTTTCTTCTTTGAGAGTAGATGGTAACTAAGCAAGAGAAAATACCTTGTGCTCGCTCAATTCTACCGCATTCAGTAACTCCTTAAAATTCACCAAAGCGCTTTCTTTTTTATTCAAAACTTGATAATAATTCTTCAACTCATGTCGATATCTGCACATAAACTTTGTCATGTCTACGTTCAAAATTTTATGGAAGTCCTCTTCGAAAACTTCAAATGTTGAATTGGTACGAAGTCCAGAAAAATTGAGCCTAAGAACAAGGAATGAAGATGCTAATGGTGTGGGATTTTTTCCGATGTAAAAATCGCCAAAAAGTTGTTCGAATCGATCTCCTTTGTTCTTTACGTCATAATAAGAGGATAAAGTAGAAAGAAATAGCGTCTTTCCAAAACGACGAGGGCGTAGTGAAAGGATAGCACGAACATCGAGACCCTCTATTTTAGAGACAAAATAAGTCTTGTCTAAGTAATAGCCACCTTCTTTTCTCAAATCGGCAAATGACCCCGTTGAAGTATTTTGAGAGGTTTTAAAGATGCTGACGGCACATCAGCTTCTATGGGCAATATTTTGATTCATTAATCAATTGGCCTTGAGGTTTTTCACAGTTATATTCATCTAACTTCAACCTCTTCCGTTCTCGTTCTACTGAATCAAACTCCATGTCGGAATATAATTGGAATCCTCGACGTGCTATCTGAAGACCACGTTGCATTCCTTTCTTCTAAATAATAGGTTCAACAAGAGGAGAATAACTTGCTATTCTGACACAATAAAGCACTCAATAGATCGCTTGCCTTTTCGACTTCCGACTCCAAGTCAATAAGATCGGATTCTAATATTAGTGATGAAATTCGTCTCTGATTTCCCAAATTTTGATGTTCTCTGCGTCATTATTACTTTCCTACTGAAAAAAAATATAATCAATCAATTAATCTGTTTATTTATATTTATATAGTGTTATTTGTCAAAATTTCAGATTAATAATGAAGGAAAGAGTTCACAAAGCTACGGACACTCGGACCTCGCCTGATGGACACTCGGACCACAGGTTTAGCTCAAGAGAACATCCCTTATCTGGACACTCGGGCCAGCCCAATGTTTCCATGACCACGCACACGCGGTGCTACCCGGGTTTTACACGCGGAAAAACCATAACAACGCTCGGATGCTGGATTAGTCATAGAGTACACTGGCACCTCCACATATATTTCAATAATTATACTTTCCTTCATTTCTTTCTGCAGATTTTTGATGATGTTATAAGCGGGATGTGTGTTTGCGTATATTTCTTTTAAGCACCTTAACTCGTTGGCCAAGGTAGAATACGAATTTTGTTTGGTAATTGATGAAGAAGGTGGTTGATTCCCGATCCAATATATGTCCCAATCACTTAATTTCCTCCAGGCGCTAGGATCACGATCCCAATAATCTGTATGGTTAAAGTTTATAATTACCAAAGTTTAAACGTAAAGTGGTAATCGGTACAGAGTAATAAACCAACCCGGATATTTCAACTTTAAACGATCCCCTTTTGACATACACTCCATGCGAAGAAAAAAATTTTTTGCATGAAATAAAAAATCAAGAACAGATCTCCAAGCTTAGTAATACAAATACAGCTTTCACATGACGTTGCATATAAAACATTTAAACTTTATTTTTTTTGTTACAAATCACTTATTTCGTTATAAACTACATGTAAAGGCCGGCCTATATAGATAGAAACGTGGGGATAGAGACAAAGAGGGAGGAAGCATCTCGAGCCCTAACCCATAAAACGAGAGCTCATTTCTCCGCCCCATGCTAGCTATCATCATTATTATCATTATTATTTTCATTATTATCATCTAAAATTATATTTCTACTATCGGTACTTAAAAAATTATTATTTTGGGAGCTACTACGTACTGCTAATAATAACAGAGTTATCTTTTTTCCAATTTCTTTCTCGGTCCAAGCTTCAATTTTATCTAATGAAGTTGTTAGTAGAGATTTTTGATGACAGTAAAAGGTGGCAAGTGTAGCCGAATGAGACCAATTTCTAAAGATAAAACATTATACATTTTCGTGGGGGATCGTTTCTCTCTTTTCCTTCTCTCGTTAAATATCGTAGTGAATTCAACCCAGAAAGTTTCAGTTTCGGTAGAATATTCGGATTTGTGGCTTTGCACAAATGCTCGCCCTGATAGAGAAATATGCGTTAATCAATCACTTGAAATGCAAAAAATAAAGTTATATAATCATCATATTTTATCACAAATAAAATGACTTTACATTTAATCAAACAAATCGTTAAATTCGAGATCAACGAATTGATTCATCAATTTTGAATTTAAAGAATCATCAATTTCGGATCAAATCAATTCGTTAATTTCGAATTTAACAAATTGATTCACTAATTTTGTAAATGGTATTCGTAGTAAGCTTTACAAAGGTATTTCCCATAATATAGGGATTTCACGGACTTACCAGATTCGATTTACTAGAAGAGTCGAAGGATTAGAATGTAAATGATTCAAGATTTTAATTAGAATTTCGCTTGAGAGCTTGATATAGACATTTTTTTATAATAAAGAGAAAATGTAAATTTATAAGCAAAATAGAATAATACTGTCTTTTTTATATAATCTATCTATTAAAATTATAGAATAAAGCTAAAGAGGTCGATTTGCGTCAGATATCGCTTCACGTGATTTTATTCGATCAACATTAACCTATTCACCAGCACTAACCGTAATCCTAACCCTAACGCTAGTAATACTCACCGATCGACACCTGACGCAGATCGACATCTGAGGCACAACAATAATAAAAAAAGGCGGAATCTGTATTTTATATACCACAACTGAAAATCATTTACAAGTGATAGAAACTTATGAAATTCAAGATTACGTGATTAGTACATCTGCGGTAATAACATGATATCCTGGTCACGTAACATCGTAACGTCACTCAAAATGTTACAGCTATCAATCGCGGCTTGGTTTTCCTAGAAAGAAGTTATTGAATTTCTTAACAGTTGAATACACAAAATCAGCTGATTCGATTCTTATAAACGGATCAATAATTAATGACTTGGCTTGTGAATCAGGGGTGAATGTGGACGATAACACGCATTGTTAAAATAATGAACAAGACATTTTCACGTATTTTGTTTCTTTTGATCTTTTGAGCACAATTTTTTTCGGTGAAACATAACTGTTGCTGGATATTAAACGTAGTCCTTAAAAGACGAAACAAAGTATTCGACAAAGTATTCGGTTGGTATTTGAAGGTGGATAAAGTAACCTCGATTTTTTTTATCGAAATAGCATAGAATTGAGATTGTAATTTCAAATATCACTCAAATGCTTTGTTCTCATCTTTTAAGTAGTTAAACTAATAACCGAAATTATATTTTAAATTATGTTTCTTGCCATTTCGTATCTGTAGTTGCCTTATAGTTAAGTATATTTCATTCAATATAATATTTTCAGCTTGTAGCAAAAAAAATACCTAATAGGTATATTTACACACTGGTAAAATTTAAAAAAATTACTCGTTAACGGGTTAATACAATTAAGGATCGACATTGATTTAGTATCCAAAATTAATCAACCAGACCAGACCAGACTTTGACCAATTCTTACTAAAAATTAATTTCAAATTCAAACGCAAATGATAAACATTTTATTCCAAATATCGACATTTTTGAATACTTTATAGGTAACCTCTTCATAATAAAAAATTTGCGTAACTATAACAATAGACTTTAATTATAGAGCTATATGTTTTGGGAATTTCGAAAATTCAGATTTAATATAAAATCTAACTATCGCTTTCGCTTATCGCTAAGCCAATCATTTTCTCCTTATAATCAATTTCTGTTTGACGTTTCTTTTGAGGACCACGTTTCTTTTCAGGATTTATGCCAAGTTCCTTAGCTGGAACATTAGCAGTGAAAGCTGAGGTGCCCCCGTTTTGAATCGTATATTGAAGATAGCTGTCAAATCGATGACCATCCAAGGAGAATTTATAATCGGATGGATTGGAACTTTGTTCGAAACCTTTGTTGAATTGACCGACTATATTAAGACAACCATCTGGCATATCAGTGTAGGTAATTGTTCCCTCAACTGTTAAACCTTTACTCGCGTCAGGAACAAAACGTGCATAAGATACAGCACGTTTTTCGTGTAGAAATGCAGTGGCTGATGCTAGAAAGAAAATGATTGCAACGAAGATAACAGAAATTTTTGTGAACATGGTAATTGATTTTAGAAGTATTTTGTTAAGACTTAATAACAGTTTGATTTTTTTGATTCGAAGTGAACAAAAAACCCTAATTTATAAAAAAAATTTGTCCGTAGCAGCTTGACGTGGCTTTTTTTTATACAGTAAATACAGTCAAAACTTGATACATAACGATAGGTCGGGGATAATTAATAAAAAATCTGTAAAATATCGTTATATCGAAAATTTATTATAAAAATTGTTATATCGAGGAAATTTTATTGGAAGTGTTTTTGGGTTGTCATCATTATATCGGGCTTTTAATTAGTCGTCATTATAACGAGGGCTGAGCAAATGATTACAATGAAGACAACAGAGATTTTTATGAACATGGTGATTGATGTTAGAGATTTTTTTTAAGTTGATTATTATTGTTGTTGTTAAGGCTTGACAACAGGATTTTATTATTGTTGTTGTTGTTAAGGCTCGACAGCAGGATTTTATTATTATTATTGTTGTTGTTAAGGCTTGACAGCAGACTTTTTTTATTCGAAGTAAAGGACAAAAACGCCCCCCCCCCCCCCCGATTTATAAAAAATTTACCCGTTAACAGCTTTATAAACATTCGTCTTTCTAGCCAATTTTAGAAAATTTCAATTGTCAATACTTTTGACATGGCTTTTTATTTTGTCAGAACTTGTATATAATAAAATCCACCGCACTGCCAAAGTACGTATCACAGTACACGTAATTAAATACATTGTAGCACAATACAGAAATTATAGATTATCATCAATTACACGAGACAAATATTCTTTAAGTTTCGATTTTTGTCATGTACATTGTTACAGGTTAGTAGTCAATTGGGGGATTTAGACTGCTAATCAATAACTTGGACGGGAAAGCAGCTCAAACTAATACTAATTCTATTAAGATCTTGTGTCGATATTGATTGTATTCGCCTACTGCATAATTTAAAGATTAAATTTACTGCAGAACTTATACGTAACGGTAAGCTAAATGGGCATAAATCTTTTGGGGGTGTTGACAAAAATGGAAAAAACAATGTCGAACCATATTTATTTTCGTGTTACTAGTGTAACAGTACGTTTCTGCCAAAAGTACGTATCCAGTAATTAAATACATGTACATTGTGGCACAATACAGAATTTATAGATCATCATCAATTACACGAAACGGATATTATCGCTATTGCTAATTACTGTGTATGGAAATGTTATGCGCGTATTTGCCCATCTCTAGCGCTAGACTCAATGAAAGAATTTGAGTTGAAAGATTCCACAGATAATTAATTAATGCTTTTGTGAATAACTTTTCTAAAATTAGGCGTATTCATTTAAAAAAGACATTGTAAAGTACCCACTTTGTATTAATTTCTTCCGATTTTTAAATGGGTACTTCATACAGCGCTTTAAATTCGATGTATGGATATACTTCAATCAGCGTTTAGAGTTTATCAATTTTTTGATCACTGATCTTGTCTGATATGATGCTGTGTGTAATAAATTGTTAACACTACTCTGATCTACTTGTCTTATGCAATTTATTATTTATCTAAAAGAGTTTCTTTATAGCGCAATGTTTTTTTTAATGAACTTTGTTGTAACAGAACCAAAATTACAAGCTGAAAGAGAAAGCTTTTAGAATCTTTATTGTAAATTTTAATATAGATAATTTTAATAATATAGATAGTGATCATGATTAATTACAAGAATTTAAGCTACGAGCTTAAGTTTCTTCAAGGTAATCAAACATTGAAATTATACTCGCTTAATAACTTCTCCACCCGTTTCAACCGAGTATCAAGTGTATCAGTAGTAAGCGAGGGATCATCTTGATTCTCATCTACGTTATCATTAAATCTCTCAATAAATTTCTTTGGAGTGATTGGTTTTTTATAGCAGAGATATAAACCTATTATTTTTTGAAGATTGACAAACAAATTAGATAACGCTTGGAAATGAAGGCTATACAAAGTTCAATTCAATCAACATACCAAACGTATAGAGAAACGCAGACATAAAAGGTGCATAAGCACCACCGAGTTCACTTACTATGGCCAAACCCTAATAAAGAAAAAATAAGTTTAGGAAGAAATTAAAATCACCAAAATTCAAATAAACTTACCGTTATATAACTTCAAATCAATGGTATTATAAAAATTAAGATAGATAAATTAAATTTAGATTTTCAATACAATGTAAATGTAAATGTAAATGCTTCTAATAAAAAATACCTTTGTTGTTGGATAATTTGTACCTCGTAAGTTAGTAATCTTATAGTCAAAAGCAAATAATGAGTTTGATTTCCGGCAATATTGGCGGTTTCTATAATTAGAATGTTCAATGATAGAAAAATTTTTTTATCAAAGTTGAATCATAAGAGAAATAAATAGACTTACGGAATGTCGTATCGATGTAATAAGCTTCAAATAGTTCGGAAGGAGGAACGCCCAACACATTTCTAATACTATGAACGAGGCTTTCGTTTTTATACCTTCTAAAATTGATAAAATTATTCTGTACAAAAACAATTTATCAACAAAAATTGCTGAAACGTAAAAAAATTTATAAAATTTCTTTCTTACTTGAAAAGGTGAAAGAAAATATCGATTATTTGCTGTTGTTTGACTTAAAGTACCGAGGCTCACACTGTCCTCGTCATCGTTGCCTGAATTCGGATCTAATAAATAAATTATTAATTCATATTTGACTAATTATTGTATTGATTTAAGTATATCCAATACCAGAATCCCAAAGAGTTGCTTTTATATAAGAACGATAATTCAACTGCGATGAATCAGATTTCTCAAAAGTGAATTCAATCGCACTTATCCTGTCTAGATTGATATTCTTTGTCTCGTCTGTGTTATCCTCTATCTCGTCCTGAGAGAATGCTGCGATCTCAGATGCATTGAATTTGAACCAATATGTACTCTCAGTTAGATCAGTTAAATTCGATATATAATCAGTGCAAATTGGATCGGGGTTGACTGAAATAACGTTGAAAGCAATAAGTAAATAAGAACTATTATATATTATAATTATTTGCCGTACTCAACATTTCTTCCTACGGAAAGTGCAATTCACATCAAATTCAAAAGCGGCCTGGAAATGGATGACTATTTAATAGCATTTAGTAAATATAAATAATTTATTATAGAAAATTATAATCACTTTAACTTTTTTCTTACTAGGAGTTTTAATGTATGACTGAATTGTCGTAACAGTAACCAGAACAGGAGCATCATTTATCAGACTATACATCAAGAAGCAACCGTAACATAAGATCGCCAAAGCAGTAAAAATTGTCACAGGTAATTGCATGCCTTTGCTGGCGAATTCTACAGGCAAATCGTAACAATAACCTTTGATCGAATGGATGTGATCTAAAAGCATAATAGTGGTAGTAGTGGTCATAGTAATGATAGTTCTAATAGTAAGAAAGAATTCTTATAATTATTGATCTTCTACAGGCAAATCGTAACAATAACCTTTGATCGAACGGATGCGATCTAAAAGCATAGTAGTGGGCATAGTAATAATAGCTGTAATAGTAAGAAAGGATTCTTATAATTATTAATCTTTTACAAGCTTCGCAAGTTGTTAGTTTTTTGATGACTTTCTGATGATTCTTATATTTGCTGTTTTTATCATTTATTAATTATAAATAATATTAAACAATAATAGCAATTTAATTGCTGGATACTGTTAAACTTTTTTTTGCTAGCATTATTAACCGTTGACTTTATTTGCTAAATAAATAATAATAATAATAATAATACATAGTTAATTTATTCTTTCACTTATTGAAAAATTTTATACCTGATCAACCAATGCAGTTCACGTTACGTATACGGTGATATATCGCTATTTGGTACAGAGACCTCAACAACTTTGTATCTAAACACCAATAAACTCATAGAAAACACAGCCTTAGCCTTAACTTTAACACAACAAACTCACCAGCTAGAGGTCAAAAGAACACTAAATAAAAGAATTTTTTTTAAATAACACATGAGAAATTCGGCTATGACAATATCAATGAATGATTGGGCTGAGTGCAGTATAGATGATCAGATTCTAAATTTCGAAATAAACTACTGTATATTTAATGTTTTGTAACATAACGACAATTCATTCGGCCTGATTTACTATAGCGCAAGTGAAACCTGATTTCTGCAGTAAGTTAAGCATGCTTCTGATTCTATCTTGTATCTAGAAAATCTCAGAGCAAAAACACAACAAACTCACCAGCTAGTAAAAGGAATTCTTTTTTTAATAACCAATGAGAAGAACAACTGGGCTGAGTGCAATAGAAACGGTGTAGAAGATTAGATTCTAAATTACGCAATAAACTACTGTATATTTAATGGTTTGTAACAGCATTCGTCCTGAGGTCACTGCTGATCAACTGCGCCACTAATTCACTTATAAATGCGTCTCTAATTCCGCATCCACCAACAAATAATTATTTAAACGTTTTTAAAATTCGCCATGAAGAATCTTACTTTGATACTTGTTTTTATTATTGTAACCTTTGTAACCTTCGGCAATATCGCTTTTGCTATAGCCCCCCTTAAATGGAAACGAGAAAAAGATATTCTTCATAGGCGGATTGTTGCTGAGAAAACAATCGTCAGAAAATCATCTTTGGTAGCAAGAGACCCCGTTTGTCTAATCGGATATTTTCGATGTTCAATTAGCAACGGATGTTGCGCCGTCGGCGAAACTTGCTTACCAGGCGGACCTCCTTACAAATGTAGCAGTGACTGCTCCACTAATGATATAGCTTGTGGAGACGATACTTGTTGTAGTATAGACCAAATTTGCACCAGCGATGGCTATTGTAAATCACAAAGAACTCTTCGACCAGATTAATTATTCCGACAAGATTACCATTCAGTCCAGCCATAGCAGCAATGTCAATAACAATAAATCTTAGTTGTTTTCGTTTTTCTGAATCTAGTATAACATTTATATTTTCAAAAATATTACTACTGCTAATACTATCATTATCCTCAAAACAATTTTATCAAAGGAGAATGCCACTATTTCTTTAGAACTGAGTTTTTGTGTGGATATGTTCTAAATATATTTTTTATTATTTCCTATTCAAATATCATTAATCTTAACAATAAACTTATTAGTTGCAAATTTGATTTTTAAATAATAATATATGTATTTTCTAGATTGTGTTAAGTGTCATCATTATAATTCCAAAAATGCACTTCTTCAGGGTATTTTCTTCGTATTCGTATTCGTTTTTTCTTTCTTTTGACATCACAAAAATTTTGGAGTCTTGAAATTAGGTAAATTTAATATTGAGAATGTCTTTGATATAAGAAATACTAATACTGTACTGTGTTTTGACTTAAACAATGATAATATTGAATAGTATTACTACTGATCACAACTCACATAGATATCCATATCTTTTACACGACGACTTCAATGAAAATACATCAAATATACGTAGTTCATTGTCGAGTCCATTGATATAATCTGCGATGTATATTGGTTGCTCGGCCCGCTTTATACAATCGAATCGACGAGGGGTTATCTTTAAGCATATAGGTCAACTAACGCTAATACATCGTATAATTTCAGATGAACTTTTCAATTTGAAGTGTTGAATAATTTCTTTCGTGTAAATTATACTTCAATTGAAAGAATGATATTTGATCAGAAAAAATTACCGGTTTCTGACCCGAATAGCAAACGATTTAGTTTTCCGTAACTTTCTTTTTCTATTTTCTCGCCAATTACTCAGTAAAGATAAACTTCTCTTAGTGGTCTCTTTCATCTGAAACTCAGGATATCATGATTATCAAAACTCGACATCTTTCATCTCATTTTTCATAAATAAATCAAACTAACATTTACTGCAATACATCTATTTTATAGTAACTTAACTGACAACAAAGCAGGTTTGTTAACACGTCGCAATAAATACAAAATATAAAGACTATTTTTCTTACATCTGTAAAAAGAGAATTTGAGAATTTCAGTGAGGTAATGCATGTAAGGTTGGAAATAATGTAGTGGGGAGGGAAAAACGATACAGCTTTGGTGGCAACCAGATCTGTTGACCATGTTCGCAGTTAGCTAAACATTAGGAAAGAATCTAAAACTTAGAGTATGTTTATCGAACGTTGAGAAAATGAAGTGATTCGCGTATTGTTACCATTTTCAACAAAAATTTCGTAATTTCATAATTTTTATGATATTAAATTATGGTGTATCGTAACTTCGTCCATATTAATTTGATCTTTTATTTGACATTACACTGTTATCGAAGTAGCATTAAATTCTTCGATTCCGTAATTTTGATTCTCAATTTCTACATGAAAATCCCTCCAAAATTAGTTTCTTTGTAAGTTCTATTCTAAACCAAATTTAGAAGTATTTCATTAGGAATAGATATTACCTTTTTTTTTTATTTATTTACGTAGATCGAATTATGAACATTCCATCATTCTTTTAATATAACGTATATGATACCATTGAGAGGGTAACAATTATTTGAACAATCAGGAATGTCAAACAATAGTTAATACACGTAATGGCAGTGTCGTACATTTTGGATGTCCAAGCACTTTTTTGACTGTCCAAATGTCCAAACATCCAAATGTCCAAGTGTCTAAACTCTTGTACTATTAAAAAATTAAATAAAAAATATATGATTATATACAATGAGAAATTCTAAACATTTTTATTAATTAGTGTCCAAACAGGTTAGTTTAATAAAATTTTGAGTAAATTTGTCAAAAATATCCAAGATTGTCCAAAGGCATGTTCAAAGCTGTCCTGTGACAACACTGCATAATGGTAATAATTCTTGAGAGGATAATCTTAACAATCATCTGGATAATTGAAGAGCATCAACGAAATATACATAACAATAATAACTATAAAAAAGAGGATAACAATTATCTGGACAATTAAAAGATAATCAAACAATTAGTATTTAGTCATGTTAAAAAACCATCAATATAAATTACTAATCTTAGAATTAGCATAGGATTAATATAGTAATTTGAAATTATATATAGAAACAACTTCAAGTCACTAAGAAAACATGCTTTGATCTAATAAAAAAATATCAAAGTTCTTGTCTATATTAATAATATTACTTGTAAATATACTATTATTTTAATTAAACTTTAATGAATGCTCCTTCACTTAAAATAAACTGTTATTTTTATTTGATTTGATTTGATTTTGTTTTCTTCAAACAGGTCATATTTAGTACTTCAACTGGATCAGATCCAATCTGTGATTTAATTCAGTATTATAAGCAGAATATTCTATAGTATATTTATTTTATAAATAATTAAATTTTTTTATTATATTTAATATTTTTAATAATTAAATTTATTTAATTTAATTATTTATTATTTAATTATTTAATTATTTAATTTATTATATTCTTATTAAATGAATTTGAAATTATATAACTTTTATATATAATATATAATTTGAACATGTAATTTTTACATATAACTTGTATATGTGATTTTATATATAATTTATTATTTATTATTATTATTTATTATTAATTATATATTTATTTATTAGATAAATTAATATATAATCAATAATTATACTATATTATTAATAATTATATAGTATTATTAATAATTTTAAAAATATTAGAAAGTATTATATAATAAAATAGATTAGAAAAATTTTATATAAAATGAACTTTTATTCTTAATAATAAAAATTATTAATTAATCAAAATATAGCTAGCAAAAATAACTTGTTCTATAAAATTATTGTATCAAAATTAATAAAATTCAAAATTTAATTATATTACTTTATAATTAATAGCTTATATATAATTATCTTGATTATATTAATTTATTTAACTTATTTTTAATTATATTATCAAGAATATAAAGTATATTTAAAATATATCTATATTAAAAAAATTTATAATAATATCTTTTAATAATAAATATTTGTTAGTTAACAAATTCATATTATAACTGAGTTTAGCTATTTGATATAATATTATTTATATTAGTTTAATACTAAATTCTTTAAAAATTTACTTGTAATATTTGGTACTTATAGCATAAATATTTAATAAAAGAAATCAGATTCTTATTAAATATATTACATTCATTTTTATTTTTTAAAAGAATAAATAATTTCATCAAAAAATGTAATATAGATCTCTTTACAAATTCTAAATTTAATAATAATAAAAGACAAATTTCAAACTAAAAATATTAATATTTTATTAATTAGTAATTTAAATTCAATAATTTTTGATATCATTAGATTCTTTATAATTTAAAGAATTCAAAAATATAAATTTTTCTATCATAAAACAAAAACTCATCACGATATTTAAAGTTAAAAATAAATCAAATTTTCTTAAAAAAATATCAAAATAAAAATCTTCAATTACCAATAGAAAATATTAATATTTTGCCAACTAGTAATTAAAATTAAAAAATTTTTATACTATTATTTTCACAGAATCTAAGAAATCTAATAATATAAAATTTTTACTATAAAACAAAAACTAATTAAAATATTCATAATCAAAGTTAATTACAAAAAAATTTTGTTTAAAAATACCAAAATAAAAATTTTTATACACAAATAAAAATATATAATATTTTATCTAAATATAAAATTTTCTATAGTAGAACAAAACAATAAAAATGAGCTTTAAATTTTCATGATCATTTTTAAATAATAATATCTTTTTACTCAGTTATCAAAATTTAATAAAAATAATATTATTAAACTTTTTTTAATCTGATGAATTCAAATATATATATTTTTCTAAATTAGATATAAACTAACTGAGTTATTATAATTCAAAGTCATTGATAAAATTTTTATTAAAAAACAATAATCATACAAAATTTGAACAAAAAAACCAAAACAAATATTTAATATTCTGATTAAATAATATTTCTCCAATACAAAACAATTCTACTATATATAAATTATTATCATTTAACAATAATAAACAAAAAAACTTATTTAATTAAAATTAAAGAGTTAAATTATATCTAATAAATAAAAAAGAAAAAGAAAATATTCTAAAAAATAAATACCAAACTCTTTTCACAATAAAGTAAAAATATTAATAATAATAAAAAAACAAGAAATTACTTATCTAATAAAAAAATATTTTTTGATAATTACAAGACAAAATATTGTCATTTACTTCTAAAAAAATCAACAAAGCTAAAACAATAGTAAAAGACTAAGAAATATTACTTACATATAATAATTAAATGATTGATGTTAATCATTTTAAAAGAATTATCAATGTAAATTACTAAACTTAGAATTAGTATAGGATTAGTATAATTCAAAATTATATATAAAAACATATTTGAGTCTATGTTTTGACCATGCTTTGATCTAATAAAATAATAAAGTTTTTACTCATAATAATAATACTATTTGCGAATACACTATTATTTATTTTTCTTGGTCAAACTTCAAATTTTGTGAGTAATTACAAGTAGTGGATGTTCCTCCGCTCTAAATAAGCTGTTAATTATATTTGAATTGTTATTTTGTACAGGTTATATATCAATAAGTTCTGCTGAGTTAATTTTGTTTTTCTTTGTATATCAATCGAATGTTATAACAAACATAACAATCTGGTGCCCCCAATCTATTCATCATAAAATAAACCCTTTCAACTAAATATTGAAGGAAACTCAACAGTATTTCATTTATTTATTCAGGTAATTAATATTCGGTGGAGCTGCCTTTAAGATTTTTTGAAGATTACAGTAAACAAATTCATCTAATTTAAACACTCATCCTGCAAAATTCGACCTCATTAGTTGGTAGTGAAGTACGCCTACGAACCAGACATTCCAATTCATTCCAGAGATTCTCAATGATTTTCTGACATTCATATTTCACCTTCAGTGCCCGATGAATTGGTGCGTTGTCGTCCTGAACAAATATTTATTTTGTTGATAAATATGGTACTAAATCATTGTTAAGAATTCATACTAAAACGTAGGTCTTTTTGTACATGGAATCTGTATTAAATAGTTGAAAAACGTCCTGATATTCCACGATAAATTTTTATGCAATTAAAATAATGATTTAGCAGATAAAACTCTCTGAAATTTATCTCTGGGAATAAAAATTTCAGGTAGTTAAAGTCCTTGTTGTTTTCTCAGACTAGCAAATTTTTGGCAAAACTTCTAGTTCTAGTTATTGTTTCTCCAAATACAGTACATGTAGTAGTAGATATTAATCGACATTCATAGCATTAATTACGTACATGTATTACGTTAATCAAATGTTACATATTAACGTTAATATTCAAGATTTGAGGAAACTTAACATCTGTTGAAAATTATTTCAAATAAAATGAGATTTGAACAGTTCTGTATTTAAATCTGAAAAAGCCAAAGTGATTTCGAAGGCTTGTAGTTTATGAGAATTTTTTGTCAGCATTTCAAGAATTGTTATCACTTGAGAAAGACTTAAAGACGAATTTGCAAAATAAATTGCTTTAATTTTTTACTTGTTTTTAACTTTTTGGTATATATATATATATATATTATAGTATTTTTTTTGAATTTATATTTATGTAGGATTGGATAAAGTTTCAAGCTTTCAAGTTTAAATAATAAAGCCATGAATAGGACGTTATTTAAATCAATGACGACTAATTCTATGTAAGTGTTTCATTTAATACTCCGACATTATTTATGTTGTCTGTTAATGCTGATCATTCGTATGTTTTTATTATTGAAACATCTAATTCTTTTATTTTTTTTGATAGTTTTTTAATAGTAAGTTTAGTAGAATTTTCCAAACAGATAAATTTCTTTGAAAAATTTGAAGAGGCTGTTTTGATTACTATTTTCTTTAGTCAATATTTGGAAAAATTTATCGGATTTTTAGCCGATATGGATTTCACTAGTAAATCATCATCATTATTTTATAATCATTTCAAAGTTTTAAATAAAACAAGCCCTTTTAGAAAGTGAACTCAAATATGGGATCTAACATTTAGAATACTCATGTCGAAATAATTACTATTGCGATGGATGTCCAGTTCACAATACTCGTGATTGTGACAAAGCTACCTGATTGTCAAAAAATCAGGATGTTTCGATTATCATAAATGAATTTATAAATCTGAATAGGTGAACGGAAATAAAGATAAAGTGATCAATTTTATTCAATTGGGAATTTAGTGAACCAATTTTAATTTTCAGAAAGCCTGAGATTGGGAGATTCTAACAGAAAAATTTTATTAAATTTGATTCATTGGTTGTACAAAAAATGCTGTTTAATTAACATATCAATTTGAGTAATTCAATAAAAGAATTCTAACTAATTTTTATTATCATTTCTTGCATTTTAATTCATATACTATAAGTCACGATTAATCACTGTTTCCTTGGCTTATCTCAGTTATCCTGCCTTAACCCAATGTCCAACCACGCTACCATCAAGTTTAAATGACATGCTGTTTTATTTCTCTCATGCTGCTTAGCATAAATGATAAATTGTCTCGGTTGCTCAATAGAATATAAATTGCGGCTAAGTTTAGTAATTTTACATTGTCGTGTAAAATAGGATTTTAGCAAGTTTGTTCACGTTACCAAAGTCATTCAAGATCAGTCAGCATATCACTTGAACAATACTTGTGATGTAATTTAATCACGGTATGTAAATTTTCTTAGAAATATCAGTCAAATTAGTGAATGCAAAAGTGATCAATTTTATTAAAATGGGAATTTCTCCACTTCTAGTGAACTAATTTAATAAAAAAATATATGTTCTGAAATAAAAAGCTGCAGATTTGATTATTCATTGCGTAAAAATCAGTGTATGATTATCGTTATCATTATTGATCGCTGATCACCGCCAGAGGCTGGTGTACATATCGATGTACATGTAGCTAGCGCTAAGCGCATTCATTACAATACATTGGACGTATGGAATCGACGTTTAAGTTTGTCAAATTTTCCAATTATCGATCTTGTCCGGCAAGGCGGCATTGTCTTCATTCAATAAATTTGAAATATTCATCCTTTTATTTGAATCTTCCGACACGTATTCAATAGGACGTTTCTTGTTCGTTTTATGACCTTTGAAATCTAGTTTTATTAAATAGTATACGATGTTTTAAAATTGTGAGACTCTGTTGTTATTAACAAAAAAAACTTACATCGTTGTGTTTGGATGGTGTCTTTTCCATCATTCCCATTATTAATATCAGACTCTCGTGAAATATATGCTGACATTAGAAAATAAAGGACGAATAAATAGGTAAACTTTATAATCAGCTAATAATCATTACTATGTTTAGTCGTGGACCAACCAATAAAGTTACCTTCATTTGCTTCATATAAACTGACGCTTTTAGATTTGGTATCATATTCCGTATTCGAGGAGTTAGAATTTGTGTTATAATTCAAAGATTTCACTACGCAATTCGGAGAATTCTCTGTTTGCAAAGGGTTAGAATCCTCACTCGGTTCCGAAGTTGTCACCGGCCACTGAGTCATGGATTCAGATACTGTATCATAAAATGAACTCGGCTCTGTAGAATATACTGATCCAAAATACATGAAATCTGGCAAGTTAGAGGATGTTTCCGACGAACCAGATCCAACTGACGTATGCATCGCTGAAGATTGCAAATTTCCCGGAACGCATGAGAAACATAATTTTGATTCTGAAGTTGAGACAACCGGATCGGAATAACCTCGTTGTCTCCATTCCAGTGTATGTGGTTTAATTCTGGAATAAGTATTCAAACTCTGACACCGCGTGATTTTTCGTTTTTGTTTTCTATTAAAAAAATCAATAAATTTAATTGAAAAATCAATTTATTATATAATTTTAACTAAATAAAAGAAGTTAAGGCTCACCCGGCAGTATTACAAAGTTTTAATGTTTTGTAGAATGGCGAAAAAACGTTAAAAATTTCATTTTTATAGTCTTTATATATATGTGAACTGAGTTGTGAGATAAAATTCTGTTTATCCTTTTTAGATAAGGTATGTAAAAGACACAATTCCTCAGTGCAATGGAATGCTTTCAATACTGCGTTTGAAAAACAACTTCTATATATTATAAAATAGTTGGCCGGTTTTTTCTCGATACTATCAAGATATTTCCTTATAAATGCAGCTGCGTTAGGGTTTAAAGTAAATTCGTGTTTGCAGTTATTTGAATATTTAAAAGATATAAATATTTTAAATTCAATAACATTAAAAGATATAAACGTTGGCATCGGAAGAACAATTTTATTAGGTGTTTCTTCCTTATGATGTATAAGTGTAAATGGTCTGCCTGCTTCGTTCATTTTCAGAATTTACAAAAAACTATAACTTGAAGAAGAAAAAAGAAAGCTTTATACGTATATATATATACAATGCACATTTCTCTGACTAAAAAAAATTATGTTGTTTATACCGTTACGTGTATATTTCGGTAATTCTCTCCGAAAAAGACTGAACAATCTTAATTGCAACGGAGTTTCTTTTGAAAAGTGCGTAGTAATCAACGTACATGTATATAAAATTCTAAATTTGGAGCTTATCGTTATACATGTTTAAACAAATCGGAGTTATCGTTATTGACAGAATAATTTTGCCAGTGTTATTATTCCTGACGGAAAAGCACTAACAAGGAAATCAACAAACAATCCAAGTAATAAATAAAGGAAACTGGCCAAGGAATGACTGAACCGATTTTCTAAGTTAAAACGTTGATGGAAATTCTACACTAATTATGTTACAAATAATCAAGAAAGAATCCGGCTCAGTTTCTCGCAAAACAAGAATCAGTTACTTCATATTCGAATTACATGTACAAGGATATATACAAAAAAGGAAATATATAAAGTGCTACATAATCGTGTACGTAAAAGAATATGTCTTCCAAAAATACTCAATTATATAAAAAATAAAGTAGGACAAAATAGCAAGCATTTTTATGATCCGGAAAAAAATTAAAGCTGGTTACGTATATTCTAACACAAAACGACTCACACAAGAAATGGGACATGCGATCAAAATTTATAGAAATTTTATTTTCATGACTATTGGTCTAGACAAAATAAAAAGGAGTTCATTTTAAACTTGAAACTGAGTACGTACGTAATTTAAATCAAAGTTTTCAATTAGTAAATTTCACAACTTTTTATTGTTCAATATGAGAAATTTACTAATTGATAATTTTGATTTAAAAATACCAGTGCTTTTTTATTTTGTTTGAACTAGTAGCTATGAAAATAAAGTTTTTTTTCGTGTTCTATTTTGTGTGAGCAACTGTCTATTAATCCCAAATAATAATTCTTAATTGTGCAATTTATTTTTAGGACCATATTCAAGAAAACAGACCAACTGCTGGATAACTTGAAGACTTCTCTGTTCTATCCAACAATATTTTGCATTTTCAGTACTAAAAGTTCATTAGAAAATGAAGAAATTAAAAGAGTTTCTTAAACAAGAAATGCAAAGATAGATAAATTTGACAAAGTGAACTTGCAAAGAAGCATTCCTACAAATACAAACAAAAACATGCATTCAAATGCAGTTATACACCGGTCGAATCCGTACTTCAAAATTAATTTCAATACTAAATGATACACCTACTTTTTATTTCAAAATATAAGTTTTCATATTGATTAAAAATATTTAAGCTCTGCAAGTGCCAATTTGTTTGCTCTTATGAAGTAAATGAAAACATACATGTTTGCAGACAATTCTAACATATGTGACTGCTGAATTTGATAGAAGTTGGTCAATTATTAATATTATTTTTCACTAATTTCTTTTTTGGTGGTACAAAACAGATTCGATTTTATTAGTATATGAAATTAAAGAGAATAAGATATTTTGAGTGTTTTATAAGAAATATACAACAGAAAACATACTGAAAATTAAATTGCGTTCAACATCCAAAGGCACTTTTTGTCATTCTTCTTTCAATACCTCAATTAAATCCTTTTTGGAGGTCGGCAGAGACTTTTTTTCTAATTGGATGATCTAATGATCCATATATGCTAATTGAATTTAAATTGTGACTTTGGGCAGCCATTCTAAACCGGAATACTGTGTGTTTGCATCCACCAACGACTACATGTATAATGCGAAGTATGACAGAAAGAACCATCTTGCTGAAAAGTTGTATAAGAATGATTACTCATCTGAGGAACTGAATATTTGGAAAGAATATCAACATAATTGTCAGGATCAGGATTGTTATTAACCTCTACCAAAGGTCTAACTCCATCACATTCAATATATCCCCAAAACATTACCGATGCTCCATCAAATTTTAATATTGGAACCACACAACTTTCTAAGTTTTTTTTTTCAAAAGATTCTCGCCACACTCTTATACGTCCGTCTGAATGGAAAAAGGAAAATCGCGATTCATCTGACCATACGATTTTGTGCCATTCATCGTTCCTGTTTTTCCTTTCTTTGCACCATTTTTTTATGTTGAGTAGTTAAAAAAGGTTTACGATTTGCATAGTGCGATTCAAACGATATTAATTACAAGTATATTGTAGTGAATTGAAGTATTAATATACATTTAGTCGATTGGTAATTTACATTTAGTTGATTGGTAATTTTAATAAGCAAAGCTTTGCGATCTTTTTTTACAATACACTTTAAACTTCGTTTATTACGTCCTGATATAATTTTTGGTCGTCCAGTGCGTTTTACAGGATGTGGAGAACTTGTTTTTCTTAATCTAATTAATCGTATCACGTACTGTTTGCGAGGGTAGAAGCAATAGCTGAAGCGTTGCTCTCCATATGATATGCACCAATTATTTGTCCACGATCATTCTTTGCGTGGTAAGGACATTGTGAATAGAAAGATGAATAGTGTTTTTATATACAAATAAAAGATCGAAATGATGTAAAAATAAAAATGAGAGAAAAGTAAAACATTACTCGATAAAGAGTAATGCATATGCAGGTGATTTATCGTAGTGTTACCAAAATAACCTTAATTCCATAATTTATGCACTTAATTTGTCCATGAAAATCCAATTTCCAATTCCGTAAATCTCCTTTCGATTTATCGTGATTCCCAAATTCATTCCTAAATAAAAATCCTTTTTGAGATTAGTTTCCTAATTAACCCGAATTACAATACGAAAATAGTAACACTTCGTTACGAAACAATACCTTTCTCCTTAGTCATAAATCTCCCTTCCGATTCTTTAATATTATTGAACGTCTCGATGCGTGATTATCCAAAGGACAAAACGATTATCTGTAGACAATAGTCCTTTAAGAAAAAAAAGATTAAAATCGAACGATATATACTTGATTGTTGATAATGAGCCCCAAAGAAAATACTAATCTTAGAATTAGCGTAGTAATTTAATCCTGTATATATAGAGGTGCTTTCGAGCCTTCGTAGAAACATGCTTTGATCTAATAAATAACAAAGTTCTTACTCATAATAGTAATACTAGTTGTGAATACGCTATTATTTTATTCTATTGGTCGAACTTCAAATCTTGTGAGTAATTGCAAGTAGTGGATGCTCCTCCACTCTAAATAAGCTGTTAATTTCTTTTGGATCGTTATTTTGTTTTGATCTTTCTTGGAACAGGCCTTACCGATAAGCCCTGATGGATCGCTTTTATTTTTGACTTTGTCTTCTTGAATAGGCCGCATCAATAAGTCCTATTGTGTTAGAATCGTTAAATTAATTTTGAATTATAATTTTATTTTGTTTTATTATTTTGTAAACGCCCCTTACCTTTAATGTCGATTTGCATACAAGTCGCCACGGGAAGCCTTTAGAACGCCCAAAGAAACCCCTTTACCCGTAAATAATTCAGTCTAGCTTTCACCCCTGTTGCAAGAAAAACACTCTCTTTAACTAATTATTATAATCGACGCAACAGTAGGTCAGTGTACATGTATTACATTAGAGGTCATGTTTGATTGATGTGAAAAAGTATCGGTATTGTTCATTTCAAATTACATGTACATGTAATTGATATTCGTTATCAAACAAAATGTAAATCATTCTTTAAGATTTGATCGCGCTCTAATACCGATTGCTCTATCCAGATACTCGATTACTAAAAACGAATTATTAATAAAATGCCGACAGAGAAATAAAGTAAAATTAAATCTAACATTATTCTTGGTCAGGTAAAAAGTAAAGTTATTGATAGCAAGAACAAATTCTTTAAATATTAATATTAACGTTAATAGTTTTTTTGAATTAAAAAACCATCATATTACGAAGCATGAAGGGCTATAACAGCACATACGTACAAGAATACGATCACAAGTAACGAATAAAACTCCAATATAAAAATGCGACAATTCCCCTTTATGCTGTCATTCACACATCTACTATATGTACTTCGTTTTTTCTCAACGAATATTAACGCTGTTGATTTTCTATGGATCATACCATTATACTCCAAATATTCAAATTGAAAATCTTTGTTTGCAGCGAACCCGCAAATTCCTTAAATACGGAAAAAAAAGAATTTTATGAAAATACATGTATTAGAAAAATAAAAATAAATTCAATAAGCTATTAAGAATTCATTAAATTGAGAATTTTATCAAAAAATTATTTCAATTCGATCCATATAATATGGTAATTTGATAGAACTTCTCAGAAAGAATAATATTATCAGTCAATTTTAAATTATTGTCTCTAGACATATCATTTTTATTCTCAAGTCTAGATTTCCGGTACTATATTAAATTTTTGTTTTAATTTTATAAAAAGTTTAATAGAAGTTGTTTTTATAAATTAATTTAGCTATAAAAGCTAATTTTGTACAAAGCCAAATATACGTATACCGTATTTTTATGGCTTAAAGTACTCCCTAATCCTAAATATTATTTTATTGATTGAAGAGGACAGTATAAGGTATCCAATACTGCGCCACAATGACAGTTTTTATTGTAGATTTCATACAATTTGACCAATCAGAATTCTTTATTTTTAATATTATATTAGTGAAAAATTTTAAATCATTATAACTTTTTCAAAATAAAAATCCTCTTACAGATTAAATGTTGATAACTTATGCTTTCCCTCGTTATGGTTGCTTTGATATAGTTTCTGATTTGGCAAGCGAATCTATATTAAACAGCAGAAATTTAATTTTGTGCCATCTATATATAGCTATTTCAAGTGAATATAGATCCAAATTTCGAATTTTGTATCGATATACATGTACATGTACAGTAATTTCATTTATTGAGTATTATGGAATAGTCAGATACTTTTCAAATGAAAACTCCGTTGTAATTTATTTTATTCGAACAAAATATAAACTAAACAATATTTGATAGTTCAG